GGTCTCTCTGGCAAGGGAGGGTCATGGTACCTTATGGCTGAAGGGAAGAGTGAGAACGCTTTCAAAAGGCCTGGCCCAGGGTTGCCTCCCACATGACCCTCCAGCACCATTACTGGTCAGCCTGCTGCAGAAGCATCCACCAAGGGCCTTGAGATCTGCCTGCCTGCGTCCTCGACCTCCAGCACTCCTGCTGCCCCTGGCTCTGCTCTGCAGTCTTCCACCGCCTGGAGCCCCACATTCCGTCAATGTGCTGGATGCATGGCTGCCCTTGCTTCGCTCCCCAGATGACTGACCATGCTTGTTTGCTCACTGCAGGCCTTCTGAATGGCCGACACCCAGCTTGTGTCTCTGCTGTTCTACCTCCTTCTCCTCCTTCCTTATCTGCGCCTGCAAGGCCACGTCTGCTGGCCCCTTGACTGCCTTTCTCCCTACACTAAAATGGGACCTCCATGACAGCACAGCAGGGCACACCTGCTCTACTCTTAGAGGAGGCAGCAGCTGTCAGATCCCCAGTTCACCTACACTCCACCCAAAGTGCCTCTGAAATTACAGTCAAAGATCCTCTTTTTAAAGATAGAAACAGAAAGACAAAAAAAAAAAAAAAAAAAAAAATCTGAGATAAGAGCCTTAAAAGACCAGAGAGACTGGAGCTGGCAACAGACCTGAAAGGGCTGAAACCTACACCAGCAATATGGAAGGCCAACACCACTAATGAAGTAGGGAAAATGCACGCTGAAAACAGCATCAAGAACTTAAAAAGCAAAAAGCCTCTAGATTCACACCAAACTGCAATACTGAGCAGCTGTCCCTCTCCTATTCTGGTCAAAGACTGCTACTGCTTCCTCTGGAAAGGGAAACAGAATCTTTGACCTGGGGTCAACAGTCACAGTGGACAGGGATCCACTCTGGACATAGACAGCAATATCTTTCTTGKTTGGTGCTCAGACCCCCACCCCCCCTCATGTGGCCCCCTAACACAAGCAACAGGCAGAGCATCCCTCCAGGGAGCCTGTGGAGACCCAAAGAAGCTGATGAGAGCTACGAGGAGACAGTCCAGCAGAGGTTTCTGCAGAGGGTGCCAYGACACACAAGCCATGACTACACACTCAGGGGTCACTGGCATGCACCAGGCATAAGCACATGACCAGAGAACCCAGAAGAGCCCTGAAATGAATGAACAAACAAAGAGCAGCCTGAAGCAAACAGTGACTTCGGGGAAAGCTTGAAGAAAAACTCAGAATCCACAGAGACATAGGACACATTACATTTGTGAAACAGAGATAGTTTATGAACCAGAAATGGAAGGACCAAGGGAAAGCTCTTAGAAACAAAATGAGAACAACTCAGCAAAGGGACTATAAATCTGAGAATACATTCCAGAGAAAGAAAGGGGAAACTAAGGGCACACAGCCTCAATAGAGGCTGTGTGGAGGTGCATGTGGTGAACACAGTAAATGATAATGTATCTAACATTTTAAAATCACGGACAGTAAATGTCAAAGCTTTCACTGTCAGGAATCAAGTTTGTGGAGCGATGGATATGCTTATTAGCTCAATTCTGTTATTCCAGATTGTATTCATAAGGATCATTTTGTGCCCCGTATACATAACCAACTATAATCCACCAATTTATAATTTGGGAATAGAAAACCAATGAAAATTAAGAGTGCCAATCAGGAATCTGACAGAATTTCAGAAAGAAAGAAAAAGCAAAGGGGAAGAAGTCAAAGTGCTGAATTAAGAAACTCAGGATCAGGAACACAAAWTTCCAAATAAAGAGGCCCAGAGTCAGCAGACTCTGAAAACAGACCCCAAAGGAATCTTGTTTTTGGTGTTCTTAATTCCAGAGAGAGCTTTTGACATTTGCAAAAACAGTCACGCATGAAGGTTCCACACTCAGGATGGCCTAAGACTTTAGCCACCATGGTGCAGAGGACAAAACCATGTTAGGTTTGTGCGCAGGCACAAGGCAGAACACAGCACCTGAAGACACGTGAGCCCTAGGCACTTCACCTCCCTGCAGCTGCCCTCAGGGTTGCCAGCATGTGCTCCAGCAAGGTGACAGTGAAGACGGCAGAACTTGGGCTCCAGAAGACCCAGGTCCCAACACGCAGGGAGCTGCGGTGGCGTGAGGCAGTCCAGGCAGCCAAGGCTGCAGTGCTTAGAAGCACTGGAAGAACCAATGCACAAGGAAATGAATAGAACACTGCCTTTCACCAGATAAAAGCACTAAATTCCTTGGAAAGAGACTTTAGCGATATGTAGAAAACTAAGCAAGGAGCAAACAAAAACCAAACAAAACTCATAACTCCAGGGAAAACAAAAYGTTATGCAGGAAAATAAAAATAACCCTATTACACCTCTTGGCCTAGCTGTGAATGGCACTATGTAGTCACAATATAAACACTAAACACCCCCCCCCACACACACACACACACTGAACTCACCAAATTGAGGACACACCCACTCTGGGGAGCCATGATCTGTTTGCACAGGGAAAGAAGGGGTGAAAGAAAGCCCGAAACTCCACATTCACTCTCTCCTGTCAAACAGGTGGGAGCTGCAAGTGAGTTAAGCAAACTTGCTCTTCAGACTTGGAAACAAAGGCCCAGGGAGTCCATGAGGAGGCGAAGAGGGTCCTCTGAAGGGAGGAATGAGGGAATGAGACTGGGGAAGGACACTAGAACCTTTTCCTTATCAGCCCCTATTGTGTATTTGACACTAAATCATATGAAGATATAATCTTGATTTGAAACRATTTTTATTTTATTCTTTTGTTYTTTTTAGTCATACATGACAGAACCGGGTATTTTGACATGTCATACGTATATGGGGTGTAACTTCATTTTGTGGTTGTTCATGGTGTGGAGTTACACTGGTCCTGTACTCATATATGAGCATAAAAAAGTCATGTCAGAATTTTAAAATTCGTATGAATGTCAATTAAATATAGTAAGGGAGCATACACACGGTCAACATATTGTTACCAACCTCACAGCAAGCACCAACAAGGATGACTAATACAATGACAGATGCCCAGACATGTTTCAGAAAGCATCTGGCTCTTCTTTAATGGTATTCGAGGAACTCGGGCATATCTGCCCAAACAACAGCCTACCAGAAATTCTACCTGTAAAATGTCTGACTCTAGAAATTAGGAGGGAGGAAAAAATAAAACATTGCTTTAGCCCGAAGTATCACGTAATCACTTTTTCAGTAAAAGTGACTAAAGAAGTGAGCCCTGAGACTTAGGCAGACAGCCACAAGACTACAACAACAAAGTCAGAGACTTAATGACCCAAGAAAGTCTCTCATCAGGCCACTAAGAATCAACCTGCCTGATGGAGTTGCGGCTGTGACAGGGACTCTGTGTTACAYTGGCACTCTCCCCAGGCAGCATTAGTAATTCTAGGTACAATGAGACAAGCCTCTACACAGCCTTGGCTCATAGCAGAACTAACAGTATCAGGAAAGTTTCACCATTATTGTGAATTAGTTAATGGACCCTCTAAAGTTGTCACTGAGGCTTGAGAAAGTAGTCTCCATTTTCCCCGAGTCCTAAATTCTCACAGGTTAACTGTTGATGTTTTGGATCCAGAGAAATAGGAATTCACATGATGGCAGCTTTATTTTATTTATTTATTTTTGAGACAAAGTTTGACTAAGTTACCCAGGCTGGTCTTGAACTTGATGGTCCTCCAGCCTCAGCCTCCAGAGCAGTTGGGATTATAGGAAAGCCCCTGGAGATGAAGGTTATTCTTAACCAAAACTTTCTGAGCTACTTTAAAACACTACTTCTGAGCATTCTACTGTATCACACACTTAATGAATTTATCCTGGGGCACTCTGAGTGTTGGAAATAATTAAAATATACACAAAGGCGCTAGGTTTCATCCAATGTTTCAGTATTTCAGGTTTGTCTCCACAAGGAACATTAAACTATCAACAGCTCAACTATCTTGTGACTTTATCTTAAAGATGTTTTAAGAAAGCTGCCTGCTAAGAAAGCGACTGAAGACACTAAATGTGTGAAGTCATTGCCTGAGATCGTGGGGTAGTTTTGAAACTGCAGATGTACGAATAACAAACCCCAAAAMTGAAGGACGAGTCATCCTGCAAGTGAAGATCACGGCCTCTACAGGTTACTCCAAACGTTTCTTCGCCCGTGTGCTGTTTGATACGCAAAACGCGTCAGTTTCTCTTTGGGTTCACTCGGAATGCAAACACCACGTCAAAGCTGACCCTTCTAAGTCAGCGACCCTAAGCACCTGGCCCCCTTGAAAGGGGGCCACTCACAAAAATACCCTCGCAACGGGCCTTGTGTCAGAACAGCTCCGGGTCTCAACGCCTGGCACCCGCTAGTGAAGCAGGAAGGGTTTCCTCGTGGTCAGGGGCGCGCAGGGAGGCTTCCTGCACAGCGGCCTTGGCGTCAGGCCGAGGCGGGAGACTCCGACGGCTGCCCGGGCCGTAGGCCACACGCGGCAGAGGAAAGCACATCCCCGCTGGACCCTGGGCCGGCCGCTGCGAGCCAGCGCGCTGAGCACACCGCAGGTCTCACCTAGCGCCTCTGACTAGGAGAAGCGAGGACCGCGCCGGCTCCGCCCTCCCCGCGGGGCGCGGGCCCCGGCTGGCGCAGGAAGGCCACGTCCCCCGGGACGGGCGCGACTCTATGGTGTGCGCGGGCCGCGCCCCACATGACCCATGCGCAGCCAATCCCGGCGCGGCGACGTGCCATCGAGACGGCCGCGGCGGCGGCTAGAGGAGCCCGCCAGCGGCTCGCCAGCCCCAGCCCAGCCCCTCTCGGCGCTGCCAGCTCGGTGCTGCCGCCATCTTCCTGGAGGGGAGGATAGAGGCGAAGGCCCCCTCCCCGTCAGCCCTCTGCACTCACGCCGCCACCTGCCCGTCCCCGGCCGCCCTTACCCTCAGCGGCCACCTGGCTCCTTCTAGAGAAGCGCCCTTTCTCCCAGTCCAGTTTCCCGTAAGGCGAAGATTCTCGTTACCTGTACCACTCTTATTAGCGTGAGGAAACCAAGCTCATAAGGTAGGAACTGTGGCGAAACAGGGACAAGCCGCCATCTTGGTAAAGGAGAAGAGGCTACGCTTGACCTCCCCCCGCCCCCAGCCTCTATATGGCCAACCGCCGTGGGAGGGGCAAGGCGCCTGCGCAGAGGCGGACGCCGCGGACGCTTGTGCGCCTGCGCTATGGGGCCGCGCCGGGGAGGGGAGGAAGGCCGGGAGGCTCTGGCCAGGAAGGTGTTGGCAAGGGCGGGGCGGCTCGATGACGCAATCCGCGTGCGCGCGGGCGGGCGGGGCGGGGCGGGGCGGGTCCGGTCGGCGGCGCGTTGGGTCTGCACCTCTTCTGCGGTTTGGCGGATCGGAAGGTGAGTCTGCCCGACTGTCCCGTGGCCGCACGGCCTGGAGCTACGGGCCGACCCTCTCGAGGGGATGCGGGGCGCTCCGCTCCCCCTGCTCGAGCGCCGGTCTGCTGCGGGTGCCGGGCGGGGGAGGGGCGCGGCGGGAGGGTCCCTGCCCGAGGGCGGCGAGCCTGCGACGCCGCGGTCCCCCGCGCGGCCCCGAGGGTGGGCCTCCCGGCGGGCCCGCGAGCAGGCGAGCGTAGAGAGGGAGGCCGCGGAGCCGGGTCCGCCGGGCGCTTCGGTCCTGTGGCCATCTTGTCCCTCTAACGGTGCCATTTCGTCCTGGAGATGTGGAGGACTTGCCGGCCACCCCGCGACCTTTGCGAAGCTCAGGGTCGCGGAGCCCGTCGCGCCGATATGATGGACGTGGCCGATAAGTKGGCCGAGAGGCAGCAGGGCCTGTCGGCGGTGGCTTTCCGCCGGCACCGGCGACGCTGGACCAAGGGCCTCCTGCACCGAAGGAGACAGCGGGGATGGGGGCCCGGTGGGGAGGCCGCTGAGCCGGGCGGGCCAGGGCACCGAAGTCCGGACCACGCCTGGTTCCCGTAGCTTTCTGGCTGCATTTCGCCTCGGCACCGCCCGACCCCGTGGGCTCTGCAGACGCGCAGACCCACGACGCAGCCGCGCTGGACTTGGAGTGCACACTGCCACGGTCCGCCGCGCCGCCGGCCGGTGCCCCCACCTTGGCCGCCTTCCGTGCCTCCCGCTCGCCTGGTGTTCCTGCCCGCTGCTTGTGCTGGATTTGCAGGCTGCATAGGTGTTTGCCCGGTGCTGTGAGGTAGTGGTCACCCTCACGTTGCCTAGCACGGTGACCAGCACGTAGTAGGTTATCAAGTAAGATAAGGAAGTTTTGTCATTATAAGGAATACTACGATGACGTGGGGGGGCTAAGAAAGCAATTTTCTGGTGCTTCTAGTTTGAGGTTCGTTATTTTTAGTGGTTATTTTTGGGGTCCTATATGGCACTGACAGTGTATACTGGTCATGTCTAGCTGGTACTTTTTCAGTATTCCACTCTGATCTCTCTCATCAATGCCACAGTTTAGAGTTTTCATGTGAGATCAGCTTTTCGTTTTCATTTAGCAGGGTGACCTAGAGAAAGAGGGTAGGACCTAAATTCCTGAGATTCGGGTTYTTCTGAATTCCAAAAATAGAGTCTTCTGTAAATGGAAAAAGTTGTTTTTTCGTAGAGAAAAGGGTGCACCAAAACGGATCTGGCTGAAGAGCCGAGGGAGCCTGTTGATATTGCCTGTACTTACTCCACTTTGTGCTGGTGGTTGGGCCAGTTTCYACAGAAAGTTCCCTTGATTGAAGGGTACTAGAATACATATGCCTTCCTCAGATGGAAGGGATCCAAATGTGGAAACATTTTAAGTCCTTTGGATAGGGAATGATGAACCTTTGAAGTCCTGTGTTGAAAGCCAGGGGATCACTTTGTGAACTTGGGGTGATGTACACAAGTATAAGAATAACATATATAAATGAATGATAATTCTCATTTGTGAGTATTTCATTAATATAAATGCCACTTGCAAAATAAGAATTTATAATGCCAGGGTAGTTTTCTTTGTTTTTGATCCCTTGTTGGGTAAGTTGGTTTATTATATGCAAATTTGGATGAGGGTATTGCTCTGTGTGAGGCAAGGATAAAGAACTTGTAAACAGCTTTCAGCATCTGGAATGAGCATAGTGTGAAAGAACAGAACTTTTTCACTTGACCACGTTTTTGAGAGTTGGGGGATCCCATTGGTCTGTACCCGAGGTTTTAATCAATTACAGTGCTCAGCAGTCTGTTACTAGATCAGAGCCTTCTCACTGAAAACCAGGTGCTCCAAAGGTTCAGTTCCTTTTCAGCTTTTGTTTTACTAAGTTAATAAATTAAATTGTTAGAAAACCTCTGTGGATCCAAACTATGATTCAAAAAAAAATTAATGTGAAACAAATAGGAGGTAGCAAGAGAAGCTTCATAGCATTACAGCAGAGTTGAATGTCTTCTAAGAATTTGTAGCCTGGAATTCATAATTGACACAAAATAGTGTGTTCTCCATTTTTCCTCCATTTTCTCATACTTGTGTCTCGGGAGAAGGTCTTGATATGGAGGAACCAGACAGAAGTGGAAGTCACCGTTTTCCCTGGAAGAGCAGAGTAGAGGTCAAGGGCAACATGAGGCCAGTGTCTGAATGGTGTGCAAATGAAGGTGGTCAGTGGCCAAAACCAGCGCCCGAGGGTCCAAGAGAGGCTCTGGTCTTCCTGTCACAGGGTCTTGGTTTAGGTTGGGTAGGTATGATAGCTGGTAAAGCAGGTGCCACTCTTCTGTCTGCAGAGATCTGTACTTCCACAGGAATGGGAAGGTCGGCTACATGCTCCCTTAAGAACAAAGCCCATCATTAGAGATTCCTTTTAGAATTAGACCTAATTATGATAATCTGGGGAAAAGGAAAATAATTTGGTTCACATAGGACCTATTTTCTCTTGTTCCTAAACTTGTTCCTATGTCTATGTTTGATTTTTCTGATGTCAATGACATTTTCCCTCTTTACATTCCTTATTTATTGCTAGTATTGGGAGAAACTTGACTTAGTTAATATCCATCTTGAATTTAGACACCCTATTGAATTATCTTATTCTAAAATTCTTTTGGAAGTGGGCAGGGGCATACTCTTGCTATGTTACCCAAGCCGGCCTCCAACCCAGGATCAAGTGGTCCTCTTGCCTCAGTCTCCTAAGCAGGTGGGACTATGGGCATGTGTCACCATGCCTGGCTTAGAATTATTTTTTTTAACCCCAGTGTTTGTGTTTTCTGTGTATTCAGTCCTGTCAGCAACAGTTTTTGTTTTGTGTTTTCACCTTATTTCACTGCATTCACAAAACTCACTGAAGTAGTATTAAATAATCATGGTAAAATTGCAATATCCAGATCTTATTTAGATTCTTGTCAAAATGAAAAAAAATGTCCAGACAATTGAAAAATATGAATAACTGTTTTTTGATTACATTAAAAAGCTTTTATTTCCTCAGATATGTCGTTTTAGGAGCCTTTATTTTTAGATATGCATACCAAAGTATAAGTGAAATGCTGGGTCTAGGTTTGACTGTACAGTAGTCCTGGACTGGAAGACTAAGTGTGAGGGTGGATGAACTGGGATTGGCCTTGAATTGGTAATTTTTGAATCTGGATAATGGGTGGCACGTGTGGGGGGGTTGAATTATGCCTTGAAGTTTTTTATAAGTATTTAAAAATATGTGTAGAAAATGTTAAGGGACAGACAATTGAGGATGGTGGGAACTCAAGGTTAAAAGAATATTCCAGAAAATGGGCCCACCGTGCTGAACACCGCATGCTTTCTTTTCCAAGAAGCAATTTGCCCACAGCCCTGCCTGGCCTCAGTGGACAGGACATGTCCCATTCCTCAGCAAACTGCCTGTCTGCAGGAGAAACTCTGGAGATAAGGATCAGTTCCTCCTGACTGTAAAATCTGTAAGAATATATGAAGAATCCAATCAGAGCTGGTCAGCATGGGCCAAGGGGACTTACAGTTGCCCTGGCAGTGGGGACTTAAAAGTCAGAAGTCAAGAGGTGGACCTGGGCAGGACTCTGGAAACTTCTCTGGGACCCCAGGAAAACTGGAGTGCAGAGAAGCACATTGTCCCTCTTCTCTCTGAGAGCACCTACTCACCTTCAAGAGTGGGTCCTTTCCCTTTTCCTACCCCTTCAAYAAACTCATTCCTGTCAACTCTGAATCACGTCTGAAATCTTTCTGGCTTGATCGCAAAAATCAGGGTTTGAAGAGGGGGGTCTCCATGCTGCCTATATTTCCTGAAAGGCCCAGCTTCGTGATAGTGATGGACATTCACACTCAGTTACTAATTGTGATTCACGTAGGTTAGCATTAGGGAATAGCATTTGACATTGGTTTTGGGAAATAATCCTGAGTTATATTTAAGTAGTTTCTTTATTTTTTATATTAGGATTGGTTGCTGAATTTTATTGTATACCTCATCAAYATTTATTTATCCATGAATTTTTCTTTAATTTGTTGTTGTGATGGCTTATAGTGATAGAGCCTTTTTAAAAAATGTATATATATTTTTGTTTTTTATATATATTTATCTTTTTCACTTGTTTATATACGGTGCTAAGAATCGAAACCAGTACCTCATGCATGCTAGGTCAGCACTCTGCCACTGAGCCACCACCCAGCCCCAGTGATGGGACCTTTTGATATGTTTCTGGAATCCAGTTGCTAGCAAATATTTTCTTTAGAATTTTTGCATTGATATTCATGAGTGAGATTAACTTCTGATATTCATGAGTGAGATTCACTGGGCATGTGTCAGCCCCTTCCTTCCTGAAGGTGCTTCTTTTGTTTCCTCTCTCCTTCCCTCACCCTCCCTTTCCCTCTGGATCTGTTATTAAACCATGCAGCCTTCATAAAGTACAGTGGAAAGCTTCCGTTCCTGCGCAGGGCTTGGCCGTGGTACTTGCTCTGTGTTGAGCTGTAGAATCAGCTCTTACTCCACCTAGTCTTGTCTCTGGGTGACACTGGCTCTGGGAGGTTGTCCAGTCCTTTCCAGGGCCAGGAGCACACCCCTTCTTCCGCCGCCTTTCCCTCCGTGCCACCTTTTGTCCTACCATTCCTATGCGTCCTCTCTTCAATTTTCACTGTTCTCTAATACGTGTAAACCCCAATTTTTAAAGTTTTACTTTATTCTTTCAGATGCTTTCTTGGTTGAGTCCAGCGTCCTCTGCTAAGTCAGGTGTGTCTGTGGGATTTCGCAGTCCATTCTGCCTCTCTCATCCCGTGTTCCCTGAATCTATCCAATTCTGAGAAAGGCCCATGGATGTTTCCTCATTCAAATTATATTTTTATTAACTTAACTTTGTGTTCTTGTCTTTGCTGTTTAGTTCTTTTACCTTGAACCCTGCCTGACTCATGCTAATCCTGTCGCTCCTCGGGTTTGCCCTGGTGTGGTGTCTTTCAGCCTTTCTCTGGTCCTTAGTTTTAAGCACATTTCTGTTCTAACCAATCTACCTCCCATCCTGCTGCAAGGGCTTCACCACTGAGCTACGTCCCCAGCCCTCTTGATTTGTAAAAACTTTAAAGTTCTTGGTGCTGGGGGTCAACCCAGGACCTCACACTTGCTAGGCAAGCATTCTAAAACTGAGTTACATCACTCACAGGTCCTTTTTTTTTTTTTTTTTAAGGAGAAATGAGGTTCTTTTACATTTATACTGATGGCAGATATTTTTAATTTCATCCCTTTTGTCTTGATTGAGGRTTGCTGTTGGTTCTGTTTGCTCTTGTTCTTTTTCCTTATCTTTGCTGGGTGATCAAGTTGTTGTCTGTTACCTATTTTCTCTTAATATGGCGGGTCTCCTCTATTTCTCTTCAATGGCTTTCCTCTTCTTTCCTAATCAGACACTAGTTTTTGTTGTTGGAAGTCGAGGTGGTCATTTCTGTTAATGTGTGTGCTTCTATCTGACCCTCACCTCTTCCTCTACTCCTTTTCCAACCTTAGGTTTTGCTGAGGTAGTTACTCTTTGCAGTTCTTGTCTACTAGAATTTTTCTAGACTATCCTTTCCACTCAAGAGACCTTAATTTACCTCTCTTACACAGTTTCACATAGTTGGTTAATGTATAAAGTCTGATCTTTGTTGTTAGGAAAATTTATTTTTTTCTTCCATCTGTCTCTTTTTCTCCTGTGGGAACGTCTACTGTTAAGGAGCTTTCCTAGGTTTTCCAAGACCAAGGCATATAGTGGGCCTCTAAAAAGAATAAGCAAGACTGTACCCTAGGCGTTCTAGGAGACGTTCCCATAGACTCAAGGGCTCTTGAATCTTACTGCTCTATTACCTTGAATAACCAGACCAAATGCACTGCATGTATTTGGGGACCTCATTTCTTCCAAGATGCTTGGGAATGTTTCCATTTAGAAGAGACACTTGGAGAGTGCAATATTCATGATTTAGGGAAAGGAGGGAAAACAGCAAAGTGAAAGGCACTTTGTACTGTTTCTGGGCCTCAGAGGGAATCGCATTGGACTGCAGGCCTGTCTCCTGACCTTGTTTCTGAAGGTCAGCCAACAGCACTGGTGTTTCCCAATGCTTCAAGGGTTCTAAGATTTGTCTACAGATTCTAGACTTCTTTAAAAGTGTTGTGGACTCCCCAGCACTTGGGTGCCTCGATCCTGCTCACTCGGCAGCTCGGCACCTCTGCACCCTGGGTGGCGAAGAGTTAGAGTGTCTAGCATGTAGTCAGCCAGTGCTAAAAAGAAAGCTTAATATTGAAAATGTGGAATGGATCACGTGTACATGCTGCATATGGTTGCTTTCATCTGTGTCCGACATTTAAGTCTAATTTACCTCTGTGATAAAAGGTGATTTTCATGATTCTGGGGATGTATCTGAGGCCCGTGAGAAGCATCTATGGTATATACGTGCAGTCCCTGAGGTGGGTTTTGTGTGGTATACGTGTGCAGACACTGAGGTGGGTTTTGTTTTGTTTTTAACAGATAGAGGAGACACCAGGAAAGATGTCTAAGGTAAGATCCTGCTTTATCATATATACACATGGTAAGGAGAAACTGATCTATTTTTTCAAACTTTTTACAGTCAGGACTTACATGTTTGATTCATTGAGATAAAGAAGTCTAATTTGTCATTGTAAGAGTTTTGAGCTGTCTCTTTTCTCGGGTTTCTTTTTTCTGAACACAGCAATAACAATCCATTTACCTCCTTAGGTCATTCCCAGCGGACTAATCAAATAGTGATTTTAAATTCTGGTAGTTTATCATGCTGAGCTTGATGGAGCTCTTAGACTTGATGATTTGGCTTAGGTCAGCCCTGATGAGCTGGCTCAAAGCCTAAGGTAAGTGAATTCTAAGACACATGCTGAGAAAGACGGAACTTGTGGTTAAAGTCACAGTATCAGTTCTGCCTGCCTTCTGGCTTTGAGCCTCTTGTTGTCCATTGCTCTCAGGTTTTTTAAAAAATCATAATCAGTTTTTGCTTTTTATAAAAGTATTATCTGTGTGGGACACAGCTAAGCAAAAAAAAAAAAAAAAAATCAGCCATTTTTCTACCCAGCAAAATAACACTACTAAAATCTGTGTATATTTACTTCCACTTATGTACATGTGAATGCAGTTTATAAAATGTAATCCTAAGAGACTGCTTCATGTCTTTCCAATTAACAAATCAGTTGTGTCTTTCTAGAAACTTCTTCTCATCTTCAGGGTGCTACTGCCTGGCCCTGGCTTGCCGTTTGCCTCTCTGTGCACTCTGTGTTGGTGCCCTGTCCCTTAGGAGCACTGGTGCTTCTGCGCAGGCTCACATGCTCTTTGCGCTTTTCTTTCTTGGTCTTTGACGCTGTCTACTCAGCATCCCACTTGTGGGTCCCCWGCCTGGCCTGTGGTGATGCTGTGTCCCACAGAGCAGGGAAGATGGCAGAGGAGCTGTCTCCCTTTCATAAGTGTGTCCCTCACAGGGTCTAGTTGGAGATTGTTCTGTAGCCACATCTGCTGAATGAAACCACTCAGTTTAGTACTCTTTGTAAGCTTGATTGGTTTTTTTTCTTGTAACTCCATTTATCTCAACTTAGAAATTGCAACTCAGAGGAATTAATAAACTTGTACCTTTTATGTGTTGCTGAATTCATAAGCAGAATATTGATTAACAAAATGTTCATTTCAGGTTAGCATATAGCTAAGGGGTTATTGGTTTTTCTTTTAGTGATCATAAGTGAATGATACCAGTTTCTGAGAAATGGCTTTTTAGAACTGTCACCTATTTATTTGTTGTAGGTCTAAGTGGTTATATCTGAAAAACAATCAAGTTATTTATTAGTTCTTCTTCTTTTTTTATGTAAATCTTGTTTTAGCAACAACCAACTCAGTTTATAAATCCAGAAACTCCTGGCTATGTTGGATTTGCAAATCTTCCCAATCAAGTTCACCGGAAATCAGTGAAAAAAGGTTTTGAGTTCACATTGATGGTGGTTGGTAAGAAACTAATTTATACCTCAGTGTTAATTAATTAGCTGTTCCTCTTCCCAGCCATGGGGTATAGCAACAGCATTGCCTAGAATAGAAGGAGGATTCCTTTGTTGGCAGGCTCAAATCACTTGAAAAWTTTGGCTTGAGTAGAGTTATCATTTTTCTTTCATCTCTTTACATATGAGTGTTGGGGGTTTGGCAGGGAGTRTTGCAGTACTGGGGATTGAACCTGGAGTACTCAACCTCTGAGCTGCATCCCTAGTTCTTTTTAAGTTTTTTATGATTTTGAGACAGGACCTCCCTAAGTTTTGACTGGCCTCAAACTTGCCATCCTCCTGCCTCAGCCTCCCCAGTAGCTGGTTTACTGTGGCACCGTGTCTGGTTTTTGCTCATTGTGGCAGCTGACTTCCAAAATGGCTTCAAGTGACCTTTAACTCCTTGTCTTCATGACCCATCTCCCCACAACCCCCCAACTACCTATATAGGCAGAGGTCACTGCAGAAATGAAGGGATGTGACTTCTTATACTAGGTCGTAAAAGGCCTCGTGCTCCCAGCTTGCCGTCTTTGGGTCCACTGGCTCCAGGGGAAGCCACTGTGGGCTTTGAGGACACTCACACAGCTCATAGAGGAGACTGCAAGGCGGGGAACTTAAGGTCTGGGTAGCTGTGTGGGGGACCCCCTTGGAAACACACTCTAGCCCCAGGCAAACTTAGCTGCAGGACTGCATCTTGCTGACATTGACTGTTTCCTCATGAAAGAGCCTAAACCACTCTGAAATTCTCATCCAGAAAAATCTAAAATGTTTATGGGTCTAAAAGCCTCCTAGATGTGTAGTCATTATTACATGTTAGCAGATAGCTGCTGTACTCATCCATCAGAACTGTTTTTAATTCTTGTTAAAAAATTACTAACTCCTAAAATTATACTGGTGGATGTATTTTAAGCAAGTAACAGTTCTGTTGCACAATTAAAACCCTTATTTCTTAAAATTTCATTGAAATTAAGTGGTTGCTTGACATTCTTTTTTTTGTTGTTGTTAGTCAGATATCATTGTATTATTTACCTATTATATTTTATGGACAATGCTATGTGTTGTATTACAGCATGTCCTTGGACATGGCTGAATGTATTAATTCTGTTAACCATATCATGTTTTATTTCATTCTTGGTGACTGCAAAATTATCAAAAATACTAAGGTAGGCATTGGAAAAAGCTTTGCTCATGAACGGACAAGTGAGTATTCCTTAGAGTTATTAGTTCATGCATCTGAAGTGAAAGAAATTGTGGAATTCTTGGAGAAGAAAAGTGAGTGTCTCAACATGTTTTAGGAACTCAGTTTCATGATTGTAATAATGATGTAAACTTAAGTTTCTGGTAGAGAAGAGAAATGTAGTGTGGTGTGTCACACTCAAAAATAGGCGGAGCTGCCTCTGGCTGTGGTAGTAACTGAAGAGCTAGGAGTCTCTTTCTCTGAAGGGCCAGATAGTAGACATCTTGGGCTCTGTGGCCATGCAGTGTGGCACAGCTGTTTATCTCTGCCCTTGAAGTGGGAAAGCAGCCACCAACAGCACATGAGCAGCCACAGCTGTGTCATGAAACTTCGTRAGAACTGGTGGCTCCGTTAGAACTGAGTTCTAACTGAGATGAGCAGGTTAGTCCTCCTACCCTGAATAACTAGRAGACAGCACAAGAGGCTGGGCCCGCACTGGTCGATCCTGCAAGAAGGAAAGCAGATCATRGGGACTGTGCAGGCACTGCAGCCGTCTGCCCTTGACCCTGGCCCTGCTGTGGGGTGGGGTGAGAATCTAGAACACAACAGTCTCAACATCTAAAGAGCCAGAGCACAGTTCAGGGGAGCTGGGGTGACTCRCACCTGATGTAGCAAGACAGAACTCCCCAAAAGAAAAGGGGCTCCAGAGAGCCGCAGTGGGTGGCTGAAGACCAGTGCTGAACGTGGTGAAATGCAACTACCCAGAGACTGTGGGCTGGGCGGGAAGCTGCACAGGACCAGAAAGCTTGCAGTGGACTGGAAACGGGCGTTCCACTTGTCCARAGTGGAGAGGTCTTACCACACACCCAGGGCACCAAGGATAGGCTCCAGGGAGTTCCTGCTTAGGAACAGGGTTGGCTGGACATGAAGGCTGAGGTCAGCTCTCCAGGACACAGCTTACCAACAGCCTGAGAGTGTCAGGGTTCACAAGGACGAGCACTTGCCAGGACAAAGGCCTTCACAGAGAGGCATCACACCATACATGCAGTGTGCCGTTCATGGTAGTTAATGTCCAATAAAGAACTGTTGGCTGTCAGAGAAGCAAAAAAGGTAGTTCACAGGAGGAAAATGAGGCAATAGGGCCAGATCCACAGATGACCAGATGTAGAAATGACAATCAGAAACCTTTTTTGTTGTGATAAGTTCATGATCATTCCTCCTGCTGTGTGCCACTAGCTGTGAGAACTCTTAAGAGTACCCCTATACTTTAAGAAAAACAAGAATATACTGAGATAAATGGAAGGTAGTAAAAAGCACCAGATGAAATTTCAAGAGATTAAAATCACAACATCTGGGTTGAATGTAGCTCGGTGTTAGAGCACTTGTCTCACATGCACGGGCACCTGGGTTCTATCCCTAGCATGTGAAAAAGAAAGAAAAATCTGGTATGAGAGAATTTCAGCCTGGCCTGAGAGCACATGATGCACACTGGAGGGAAACAAGTACTAAAAGGTCTGAGCACAGAAGAGCAGAGCTAAAGGCAGAAAAGCCCAGAGCACGTGGAGCACAGCTTCCCGGCCTTTGTGGCCCATGACAAGCAAGTTGACTCACAGGTGACCGAAGTCACAGAAAAGGTGGGGGAGGAAACCCTGGAAAAACAGCACCTGGGCATTGTCYGTAATGATGAAAATTATAAATGCATGTTGTCCTGGATCCAAAAAAGCTCAGCAAGCACCAGTGAAATAAGTAGAAAGAAAGCCCCCACCACATGGCCCAGTACAAGTTGTCAGAAGTTGGTGATGCCTCACAAAGCAGGATAAAGACGAGGAGGCACAGCACGTGAGGACAGCASGGGGCGCCACAGGCAGAGATCACAGTCAGGAAGAAAGACCTGGCTGCTCAGCAAATGCTGTGCAGCCACAAGGAAAGGCGGGTCTTTGTTTTTTAAGTAAATGAAATTTTAAAGTAAAAGTACTGAAGACAGTTCCTACGAAGAAAGTTCCTTGTAGGAACGGCAGTGAAGTCAGCTGGGAGGGAGGACCCCAAGCATGTTCTCACCCCACCCTCTGGATTGAGGGCACTGGACTTTCCCTCCTCAGGGGTCACACCCGCAGTCTTCCTTTGTATCTGTGTGTGCAGGTGGAGAGCGTCTGCGAAGCAGTGGTCAGGGAGGGCAGGTTCTCACCTGTTGCGCAGGTGGGCATGGGGCGTCCCCGCAGCACTGCCAGGTGTGCACTCTTCCTGTGAACCATTAGAGCCTGTGCGCCTTACACCCAGTAGGTGCAGTTTGGAAATGGCTCATAGGTGTCCACGTGCTTGTTTGTTATCCTGAACCTTCTTGCACAAAGTTGATGCCTCCAAAATTCCCCGCATGGGCCACCAAGAGATGTCACCAGAGAAGACCAGTCTCTGAAGAAGGGTTTGAGGAGTTCCCAGAGAGAAGGGGGCACTGGACTTAGAACCAGCAGGGTTCTTGGTCTGCGTGATGGGAGAAAACTCGAGTTTGCGCCAGTTAAAGGCATAGAGGAGGTTTACTTAGGAAGCAGGTAAGTAGGTAATCAAGAGAGAGTAGAATAGGGCAACCTTAAGAGTTCCCTAATGATAAAGGAATCAGTCGTTTCCAAAAAAAAAACATGTAAATGTGAATGTACCTGATAACAGCTCTAATGTACATGCTGAAGAATCTGATAGGAAAAAGGCATGAATCTACAAGTTTTTAACATTCTTAGTAACATGTTAAGTCAGACAGAACCAGTAAGCTTATACAATTCCTAAATGGTGTGTCAGCAGCATGGTCCAGGTGACACTCTGAGGTGTCCTTTGCAGGGACATGGCTTATTCACCAGGGGTGTTTTGTGTGGACCTCAAGAAAATCTGCAGACTTGTGAAGGACTAACAAAAGTATGTTCGGTGATGACCAGTGACATCAGAAAATTATTAAGCTGAAGAAAAATGAAATAACATATCAGCATTTGTGGCATTAAACCTCAGCTGTGCCTAAGGGAAAATGTGTGACTTCAAATGCATAACCAGAAAAGGAGGTTAAAATGAACCACCAAAATTCTTACCATAAACTTAAATGAAGAACAAACTAAATTCAGTAAGTAAGAGGAATGAGATAATAAAGAGCAGGAAACATGGAAGAGAAGAGAGACAGTATTGAGAATTAAGGTGACCTAGAGCCAGATTGGTGAAAATTGATGCCAGGATCAACTCTGACTTGATTGAGCAGAGAGAAACCAAATTATGAAGACAGAAGTGAAGACAAAGTCTGCAGACCCTGCAGTCGTGGAACAGGTCATGGGAAGGACATGAGCAACCTTGCCAATAAATAATCGGGTACAACAGAAACCTCCCTGAAAGACAGAACTGAAAACAAGGAATAAAATAATTTTTTTAAAGCTCTATTTTTTTTTTTTTTAATGTGGTGCTGAGGATTGAACCCAGTGCCTCCCACATGCGAGGCAAGCGCTCTACCACTGAGCTACAGCCCCGGCCCTCAAGTAGTTATATACCAAAAAAGTAGAACTTATCTTAAAACATTCCCCAGAAGAAACTCTAGACTCGATGGCTTTACTGCTGAACATTTGAGGTAGAAATTGTGTACGTCTCATAAAACTTCAGAAACAGGTAAGAAGGAAATATATCCCATCTCATGTTATCCCATTATCCCATTACAGTTAACACTGACAGAGACATCTTAGGGTCGTGGCAAGTTCAGCAGTGTATAAAGAGGCATCCTTGAACTTCCAGGCCACCCAGCACGAATGCAAGCTTGTATCCAAACAGGGGCA